TGGGCTGGTTTCAGTCATTATGCAAATGTACTGTTTATAAGATTGGGGGATCCTGCAGTCAGCTGAGACTGAAGAGGTCACCTGGATGAGTGACGAAATGTTTCTCCCACTGAAAACGCTACATCCAGATGAACAGAATCAGCTGTTTGGGATTTCCTTACCTGGATGGTTGAGCATACATCGAGATATTTATTCACTAAATTAATTGGTAGGTTAATCACTGATTATGTTTTAATGCTACGCCTATTTGCCATCAGTTGCATCCCTAAAATAAAGAAAGCTTTAAAAATCAGTGAAAAAGAAGCAGAACGATAACCACGGTGGCACAGAATGAGCTTTGTGTCCCAGCAGTTACCAAGAAGGGAAGAAGCTGCCCATTAAAGCAACTCACAGCTGACTGAGATGACCATGTGTAACAATAAGAAAAGTAAGAAACCCAAGTGCCACAAAAATATGCCAATATACTTACAAACGAAGAAGAAGTAGATCAAACTGTGAAGGGTGTTCATAACGAGGCTCTGATGGTTTACTGTTTCACTGGAGCTCTGTTAAAAATCTCTTGCTTTGACTCCTCTCTCTTTCCACTCCTCTGAACACATACGTGGTGGGAGGGACTATGAAGGACCCAAGAAGAGGATGTGAAGAAACAAACTGACGATGTAGAAACAGAAATGAGTCAGAGGTTTATGCATCTGGGTTTGAGGTTCACTGCTCATTCATGTACACTTTGCAATTACACTGTTATTGAAAGTGGATCGAAGGGTGTAAACTTCTGCAGTGACAACTTAAAGACTGATCATGGGTCCAGCTTGTTCTGCTGTGCAGCACTGGTGTCATGTATAACCAATGCAAAAGCTACTGGAGAAGGTACCAAGGCCAGTATTCATAAAGCTGCCTGTAGTTAAACCAGCTCTCAAGGTTGAAAATCTTACAAAACTCTTAAAATTATCATGTTTTCCATGAATTTCAATTTAAAGTTTAGCCTCAATTCTGTAAAAAGTGGATTCTTGTAGATATTTGCACTTTGCACAATAAAGTTAATGAATCATTTTAGATTTCTAGAATCAATCAGAACTAATTTAATCATCAAGACTAATTGAATTGTTAACGCAGTCATATCAGTATTTATGGTTCTTAATGTTAAGTCTTTTATGTCTTTATGCATCCAGGTAAGTAAAACCCAAAAGGTTGCATTTGATTTGCAGTACCTGGCTCCTACTTATCCATTTAATTCCTGTGGTAATGGTGTAAGGTTTCATTCAGCTGTATTTTGACTTTATTTTTCTCAGATAAGTAATGTAATATGTCATGTTAACCTAATTTAAGATCAGCTAAAAAAAGTGAGCGTTGTCAGTTTGCAGTCAGGTGTCAGTGGACTGATGTTTTCTCATGGACTATTTCATTTTTTCATTTAAAATACAGGAGAAAAGGGAGGGTAGGTGGGGGGGGTAACACCAGCAGCTGCATATGAATATCAGCATGTGAAACTGATTCATGGTTAGAACAAAGAGGAACGAAGCTTATTTTTCGCAGCAATGTTCTCATTTATGTTGTGGTTGTTCTTCTGAATTGTAACTTCTCTAGCAGAGGTTGCTGGCATTCATTGAATTTCCAGAATGTTACTTCCTTCATTTTTATTAGGTTTGTAACTTTTTATTTTCTTACATCTTTGAAACTGTTGGCTGTTTTTGAAAGCTACCAAACATTATATCAAGTGTGCAGAAAAATACAACTCCACACAAACAACAAAAACAGAAAGTAAATGCACAAAATAACGTGTATCAGACCATAAGATTTTAGTTTGTTCAGTGCTGCAGCACACACAGTTTTCAGGTGTTTGTTGTGTTGTCTCTGACATCAGGGCTTTGACTTCTACACCTCCTCCACCTCCTCCCTCTTCTGAAGGAGCAGCTGCTAACTCCACTGAGAAGCCCATGAAACTGGGGAGGCTACCCGAAGCCGGCCGGACATCGCCGCCCCTAGTGTTCTCTACATCCCACCCCTCAAACCCCTCTCATTTCCAGGTTGAAGTAACATTTCACCTGAAACACCAACAGTTCTCCTCTTGAGGCTCTCCGAGACCATAGCCAGCTGAAAACTTCATCGACCAGAACTTAGCTTGTCTACTCCACGTCCAACTAAGCCTACCCCATTCAGTTCCAGACACAGCATGTCCATCAGGGACCACCCGGAGGAGATCCAGTTTCTTTCTTTCTCCACTTCCTCTCCTCTCATTCTGTGCTATCCCTGGCTCTGTTGGCATGACTCCCATATCTCCTTGTCATTGTGTCAGATCTTGGGCCGGGGTCTCCAGTGTCTACATTGTTGCCTCTTTCCTAAGACCAGAATGGATTCTACAGAAGCTCCTCTTCCAGAGCCCATTGGCTGGACAAGATCCCTCAGGTCTATCACAATCTCTCCAAGGTCTTCAGTAAGAAGCGACCGTCTACCTTACCCCCGCATCATTCCTACGACATGGATATCAAGCTCCTCCCTGGAGCAGCGTGCGTCAGCTTCCGCTCACCTCAGGTGCTGCAAGTGTTTCTTCACTTTGTTCATTCTCTCATCCGTGATCAGTGCACGGGATGTTACTAAAGTAGCTGCGTTCCTCTTGCAACCCATCGTTAACCTTTGCCGCATGTGGCTCTAGCCAGCACGCTACACGGGCGTGCCAATTTAACAAAAACCATCCGTGCGTTTTCCCCAGATCGTGACATTTATGTGCAATGAATAGAACTCGATTTTGTTTACTTAAAAACAATCAAACTGATTTGTAATGAGTGACTTGATTAAAACTTAAGGAGCATTTTCACTGTTTAACATACAAACATGACAACACAAACCAGACTGGACCTTCCCTGATGGCCTCTGCTTTGTGCTGGGATGTCTTCAACTCTCTGAACTCTTTATATTGAAACCCTGTGGAGGTTTCAGGTGGAATTAAAATATATTAAAGTTCCTTTAATAACCAATGAGAGAGAAAAGAAAAAGGAACTTGTTTTCTCTATAATAGTAATGGACTGCATTTATATAGCGCTTTTCAGGGCACCCAAAGCGCTTTACAATACCACTATTCATTCACTCTCTGGTGGAGGTAGCTACAGGTGTAGCCACAGCTGCCCCGGGACAGACTGACAGAAGCGAGGTTGCCATATCGCGCCATCAGCCCCTCTGGCCAACACCAGTAGGCAAAGCGTCTCGCCCAAGGACACAACAACCGAGACTGTCCAAGCCGGGGCTCGAACCGGCAACCTTCACATTACAAGGTGAACTCCCAACTCTTGAGCCGCGATCACCCTCAGTAAAACTAAATTACAACAAATAAAAACTTCATCACTGGTTTTGTTGTTGCTTCCTGAACTTTGACACCAGCAGTACATTTAAACTAAATGATGACATCACTTCCTGTGGATGAAACACATGAAAAACTTGCATGTTGAGCTGTTGCTTCAATCTCTCAACACATAATTACTACAAGTACCACACAGAGGAGTTATGAGTCATTTACATGTCATTTTTTTTTTTTTTTTGCCTGTCCCGTTTGGCTCTTTTGCCATCAGAATTGTTGTCTAAAGGCAAAGAAAGATACCCAACGGATTTTACTTTACCAAACTGACCATCCCAGCCTTGCCGTAATGGTCCATTTGATTCACCTTTTATTGTTTATTTTATTTTCACTTACTGAATACGGGACAGACTTGACTGGGGGAAAGAAGGGGAGAAAGAAAGAGGGAAAGAGAAACAGCTGAGAAGAGGGACGGGGGAGAAGGGCAAAAGACAAAAACCAACAGAATGGGCAGAAAAAGAAAAAAAATGCATATATCAATCACCTGGATCACCTGCTGAGAAAGAAAAAAGAAAGCAAGCAGAAGAGAACAAGAGTAATAGAATAAACAACATCACAATGATATATGGGAATATGACAGTAAATACTAAATGTTAAACATTATTGTGCAGCACATAAGATCAACAGAACACAGTGTGCTTTGAGGTAGGAGCCAAAAAGGGTGTAGTTTGTGGGTGTGATCACCCGTGTGTACACCTGTGAGCATGGACGCGCTTGTTTTTTTTTGTTTTTTTAAAAGGTTCCTTCATGTAATAATCTGCTAGAGGGTGTGGGGGGGCCACAGCCCCGTCCTCCAGGGCGTGAGGCAGGTGTGGAGGAGATCAAAACTCCAGACATCCAGAGGCCCCCAGAACACAAGAGACCAAGGAAGACCAACAGAGGGGCAGCTGCGCCACTGTCCCGGAAAGAGCTGAGGAGAGTCCCAGATGAGGGCTCACTCAGCAGCCGCGGAGCAGAAGCCAGGGGGAGTTGCAGTGACGAGCCCGTGAGCTCCGCCGGCAGCCAGCTGCGCCTGAGTGACCGAGCCCCAGGCCGAGAGGCCGGGGGCACCCCACCTCCGAAGTGGCCCGAGCGAGCCCCAGGCTCCAGGCCCCGATAAGCGGCCGCCAAGGAGTGAGCCGGTGTGTACCTGGACGCCCATCCCCGGACACAAAGAACCACCAACGCACCGATGTCTGAGGGAGTCCGCCACTGGCAGGGGAAGTGGTGGTAGGGGGAGATAGGCCTCCAAACCTTGGAGGGCCTGAGATGTCCCCAGAGAGGTGGCGCCTGACACCCAACCTGACATATAGACACAGACATACAGGCACACACAGATACAAACATCCATTCCCACCCTCATGCTCTCATATGCACTTACTCCACACTCAACCAACGTGGAGACAGACATAAAGAGACGCTGTACACACGATCACACTCCCCAAGCGTACTCTACAAACCGGGTCTAGGTGCCCCCGCCCCTGGCGGGGGGAACTGCACCCAGACCCAGGTGGTGTTTCCCTTTTCCCTGCGGTGGGGGGAGGCAGACCGCCCCGACTCCGCAGCAGCAGGAAGGCTCCACACTCCAGACCGCAGTCGGACGGCCAACTCCTCCTCCTAGCCCCCCCGCTCCAGCAGGTCGCAGAGAACGGGGGTGAGAGAAGACTCCAAACCTCCCTCCACCCGCTCATTGTAATGTTGATGCATGTGTGTTCTAAGGTGCATTTAAAACCCAGGAGGGCATGGAGCTACCTGCCAGAGAGCAGCAGGTAAGCGCATGGTCCCTCCTGCTAGCCCTCAATGTCTACGTGTATTTAAAATTGAGAGGTGGGCAACGATGCCAGGGGTGGGGTGTACACCCTGATGGTACTTTGGACTCCGTGTATCGTGCCCCCCCAAGATCCTATATGTATGTGTAATGAGAGTGTGAGTAATGTGAATGTCTAAGTTGTGGGATAAAATTGAGGCAGAGGCAGCCAGAAGGGGACAGAGGGGGGGGTAGCCTCCTCTGCACCCTGGTGACATACCCCTACTCCAAGGCCCTGCATGTGTGGGTGGTTGTGGTGGAGCGGGAAGAGGGAGGCAGCTGGAGATGGGGAGGGAAGGAAGGGAGGGGCAAGTGACCCCTCCCTGGGGCCAGCTCCCCCGCTGACCCCAGTAGGCACCCCCATACTCCGCGACCCGCCAGGGAAAGGGGGCCCAGGCCCATCCAGACCGGGGCCCAGTGCAGCAGCGCCGCCCGGCCCCACAGAGCCCGGGACAGTCCACCCAACCCCACCACAGAGAAAACTGCACCCACCCCACCATCCACTCATCTTCCAGACTACATAAGACAATAAACACCCAGGCTGAGATCTTCCTCCACCTCTCCTGTATCTCCCCCTCCTGCAGAGGGAGCTCCTGGGGAGAGGAAAGCTCCTGCAAGATGTGACAATCTCCCCCACCAGTTGAAGAGCCAGGTACAGATGTTTACTGAGTGGATCTTCCAGCAGTTCATCCAGAGACTTTGAGGTCACTGTCACAGACGGTGAGTTTTTACTGACATTAATCAAATGTTGTCAGAGTGGAGCTGTTCAGCTGTTCCTTATTTCCTGTCATATATCTGCTGTTCCAGTGGTGGATGTTCATGTTGAACACGAGCAAAGTTTCTAATAATGAGCTCAGTGTCTGTACAATTCAATTCAATTCAATTTTATTTATATAGCGCCAAATCACAACAAAAGTCGCCTCAAGGCGCTTCATAGATACAGAGAAAAACCCAACAATCATATGACCCCCTATGAGCAAGCACTTTGGCGACAGTGGGAAGGAAAAACTCCCTTTTAACAGGAAGAAACCTCCGGCAGAACCAGGCTCAGGGAGGGGCGGGGCCATCTGCTGTGATTGGTTGGGGTGAGAGAAGGAAGACAGGATAAAGACATGCTGTGGAAGAGAGACAGAGGTTAATAACAGATATGATTCAATGCAGAGAGGTCTGTTAATACATAGTGAGTGAGAAAGGTGACTGGAAAGGAAAAACTCAATGCATCATGGGAATCCCCCGGCAGCCTACGTCTATTGCAGCATAACTAAGGGAGGATTCAGGGTCACCTGGTCCAGCCCTAACTATATGCTTTAGCAAAAAGGAAAGTTTGAAGCCTAATCTTAAAAGTAGAGATAGTGTCTGTCTCCTGAATCCAAACTGGAAGCTGGTTCCACAGAAGAGGGGCCTGAAAACTGAAGGCTCTGCCTCCCATTCTACTTTTAAATACTCTAGGAACAACAAGTAGGCCTGCAGAGCGAGAGCGAAGTGCTCTAATAGGGTGATATGGTACTACAAGGTCATTAAGATAAGATGGGGCCTGATTATTTAAGACCTTGTATGTGAGGAGCAGGATTTTGAATTCTGGATTTAACAGGAAGCCAAAACAGGAGAAATCTGCTCTCTCTTTCTAGTCCCTGTCAGGACTCTTGCTGCAGCATTTTGGATCAGCTGAAGGCTTTTCAGTGAGTTTTTAGGACATCCTGATAATAATGAATTACAGTCGTCCAGCCTGGAAGTAATAAATGCATGAACTAGTTTTTCAGCACTCAGTTTATCTCAACATAGAAACAGAATTATTTAGAAACAAGATTATTTTGAAGTGTGAATTTTGTAAAGTTACTGTGATGGAGAGCAGGAATCAGAGTGTGGAGCTGGAAATGAACAGGTGACCATTAATGTCCCTAAATGTCTTTATTGTTTCCAAGAACCTGATATTTCAACATACATTCATATTTTATTTCATTGTTAAACTATTTTAGTGCATTTTTTAAATCTAAAACGAAATTTGCCAAACTGTTTTTTTCTCAGTCAGTGGATCCATTTAAGGCTCGTTTGATTTCTCAGCTGATTTTTGAATCTTTGTGTTTTTCTTCTTCACAGCTCCAAACATTTATAAGTCAAACTTTCCTCTCTGCTCTTGTTCAGCAGCTGGACCATCAGCCACGACTACAGGAAGCTCCACACCTTCATTAACTTTGACTGGAAGCACTGAGCAGCCTGAAAGAGCAGCATCTGCAGGTACATCCATCTATGAGAGAAGACAGTATGTTTTTAATCAGCCTGTCCTGTGTGGCAGCTTTTCTAATCAGAATTATGATGTGAGTGTGACGTTGTGCCAAACTCGTTTTCTTTTTCTAAATTCTCTGTGAGCTCCTCTTGTTCATGTAGAACTTTTATCTGTTTGTTTCTTCGTTTCACGTCTGTTATTTCACTACATGTGCAGCTCATCAATCAATATGTAAAACAAGCTTGTTCTGCTGTCACAGGTGTGCTGCTGTATGTAATCATCTCTCTGCTCATCATCATCATCCTCTCATCACTGACTGTTCTAATAATCTGCATCAAGAGGAAGAGCAGCAGAGGTAAGACAGCCGAGACACAGAAAGTCTCGTTTCTAACCAAAAACTCTTTTTTCACTTCACTTGAAGTCTGTTCAAACAGCTGCAGTCAAACATCAAAATATTTCATCCTGCTTGTCCACTTTGGGCTCTAAGAGGAGAGTGGAGTGACTTGTAGAGATGATGTTAAACACTGGAAGTAACTGAATCCTAAACTGTGTCACACATGAACTCTGGACACTGTCAGCAGGATCAGATCCAGATGTTCTCTGCTTCAGACGTGTGAAGTAAAAACAGGAAAAATATTCTGACTACACGACCCATGAAAACTGTAAAATAGTATAATTATTGTGGATCACTTCTTCAGTACACAGGAGGAGACTCGAGCAAATGTGAGTCTTTGATTCTGAAGGCAAAGTCTAAAATGAAGCCTAATAAAGTCCAACTAAGCAGGATGAAAGAACAGGAGGGGCAGCAGTGATCTTCAGCCTCACGTGCACTTTGAATGATTGCTCCCTCTAACAGAGGAACATCCTTTGTTTGTTCCACAGGTTTGAGGACCAGAGGAAACTCAGAGGGCACAAACATGGAGGTGACTTTCTTTCTCTTTGGTTCCTCTCACTGTTGACAGACTGCTACTGTAACAAAGAAATAAAGCAGTCACAGTGTGATGGTTCAGTTTGTAGACTGTTCCAGAAATTACAGTCCAAGAAGGAGAATTCAAACAGGTAGGTGACAAAAATGGCCGCCCAGACGGAGACTCCAACAACAAACAGAGACACTGTTGTCTGAGAGGTTCAACGTGGAAATATTTACCAGCACAAATGATTTAACCAAGTCAGAGTCTCTTCTTTTTATGTGAAGAAGACAGTTTGTCTCTGTTTCAGGACGTCCACTACGAGAACTGTACTCCAGGTTCTACACGTGAAGACTCGACCTACCAGAGCCTCGATCCAGCCGGCAGGGACCAGGACCAGACCTACTCTACACTCACACACCACACATGAGACTCTCTGGATTCACACCTGGGTTTGTTTCAGTGCCTCAGGTTTAAGGTTTGAACACAAACCCTGAAAACTGTAAATATTGACTCACTTCGGAGTCAGCTTCAAGTGGCTGTTAGAGGAACTGCAGCTGCTGGAACTGCAGGAGGAACCAGCCCCACCAGCCCCCATCATCCTACACCAGTGCCCCGTGGACACTGTGAAGTCTTTCTGCTGCAGTGTGTCATCCATTTGTCTGAGAAGCTGTCTGCAGTCTTCTTTCTCTCCAACACCTCGACACCTCCAGGACCCTGAGACTGACACGAAAAATATCTTCTGACCCCTCCCACCCTGGACAGAAACAGTCGCTCCCCTCAGTATCATGAAACTGCCAATATTATGTACATGTTATTAACAACAACCAAAAACATTACCTCCCCTGATCAGTCTGTTTTTTGTACACTAAGAAAAATAATTAAATGTTATAGATTTCATATTTTACTCAACCCTAAACAGAGACAACTTTGGATTCTTCTATTTTATTTGAGCGTTTTAAGTGAATCCATTGCATTAAATGTTCATTTGGAATCACTTGATGGATCTGCGTCAGACGTAACTGAAGTTAATCAGCTGGTTAGCCACACAGAGCTAACAGCAAAGCATATAAAACCTTAGCATACGCAGCACGCAGCAGCTACAAGGATGGTGTTCTTATTCTATTATTATTACAGTGGTTGAAACATAATAAGTCTGCCTTCACTTTGTAATCCACATCAGTCCTGCTGCAAATCCCACATTTCCACAGCGTTCCTGTGACATTTGGTGTTCTTTAGGTCAGCACAATGCTGGTGTTTGAACTGAATCAGATTATTTGTATGGAACAGACTTTGGTGTCACACCAGTTTGTACTACAGGATGGAGTAGGGAGCTGATGTGGGGTCCAGTCTGTGAAAGAACAGCTGTTCCAGTTACCCTAACTTACAACAACAACACAATCAGTGGATGTGATGAGCACGTCACCTACTCAACTGCAAACGCAGGAATTTCTGTGGATCATTTTTGTTAACTGCTTATTCAGCTGAGGGTCACAGGGGTGGAGTCTGTCCCAGCTGTCACAGGGAGAGAGGCGGGTCCACCTGCACAGGTCAGAAAGGACAGAAACCACACTCTCTCAGATACACACCTATATGTTTTGGGCACAACCTGACAACCGTCTCATTGGACCGTGGGAGAGCACATGAATGTCACAGAAAGTGGA